CCCCCCCCCCCCCCCCCCCCTTCTTTAAAATCTACTTACCCAGCTCCATTGAGATTCCATTCGGCTGATTGAAAGAGTATTTTCCAATTTTCTTTCTCTGCTCTCTTGACCATATGATGTATGCGTTGGGTGGTTTCTTTACAGAGTTTGGAGAGTTCGCATGGAGCTTGTTTGATTTTGCAGTGATTTTGGCTGAGTTACTATCTTTCCCCGGTGTTTGAATTTTCATTTGGCTATTGTCAGTTTCTTGGAGTTGATTTGACTTGGATAAATTCAGATTTGGGAGAGCCGACAAAGAGGCAGAATTGAGGAACTGTGTGACCAAAGAGTTTTGAATCATTAAAGCGGCCCACATGAAATTGAGATCTGAAACATCATAGAAAACTATAAATTCGGCTCTTGAAAATTAAAAAAAAACTAACCATTCACTGATTGCGCTTGCTGGTTCAGTGTGAGCTGTTCCAGAAGCTGACCAGTGGTCAAGATTTGAGATGGAAGCATAATAGAATAAGTTTTAGTATGTTTGAGAGCTCTTTTATAAAGACAGATCGTAATCAAGATAAGGAGGTGCGCAACAGTGCAACCAGATACTCGGCTCCATCTGTTAATCAGCGGCTGTAAATTAAAAGATAACAATCTTGGAACCGAAAATTTGATCATTGATTCAGACGGGAACCTTTGTTCTGGAGCTTGATCTAGATAATCGGCAAAGTTTTCATGTATTAAATTTCAGATTGGGTTCAGATAAGTTATTGTTTGGTAGATAAAATCGGACTTGTGGAAGAGGGAAGCTTGTGGGCGTGGCCAACGGTCCCCGTTACGAGAACTACCGTAACCTAAAATTTTGAGACCCTTTGCATTAATTCATTTTGATAGTTTGAGCCAGTGGAAAAAAAATTACAGTAATCGTGTAAATAATACTGACACCAATTTTAGGCTTCATTCGGAAAAAGGGTAAGACAGAAGATATTCCGGGGGTTTCTGGAGTTACGGTAGTTCTGACCTCGACCGGCAGGTTCGCAAGTTAAAATTTCGAGGATCTTCTATGAACGAAATTTCAAGGAAATTTATTTTATTATGCCCCTTTTAAAACGAAATTTAAGCTTCATCTTAAGATGAAAAAAATGCACATTTTCAGCATATTAAGATGTTTTTAAGACATTCAGATGCTTCCCATTGACCCAGATAAAATTGTTAATAAGAATATCAGGATTCCAATGATTTTTTTGGTAAATGATCTAACATCTCTCCGAAATAATTTCTGCAACATTTCGAGGGGTCATCTTTTCCCGAGCACCCCTTATAATATTACCCATCTTGTAATCGGAGGGATGTCATAAAATCATTGTATAAAAGAAAACTGGATTCTGTTCGAAACCATCGAAAATTTCTTCGACCATGCATTTCTTCTCTACTTGCTTCTTGGCTCTTCTCGCCATCTGCGCTGTCTCTGCGGTAACATGAACTAGGAAGTTTCTATGATTCTAAACGATACATTCAGCAATTCCTTCCATGGTATCCAATGGAGCACTACGAACCATCTCTGTTCCCAAGACCATCTCCAGTTGAGGAGCCAGGGCTCTTCAATTACATTCCAAACCCAGCTGGAATCATCCACAACATCAATCGTCCACCAACTCCACTCGGATGGGGAAGAAAGTAAATATTGTCATTTTTGACTTTTTAAAATGAATACTTGCATCAAAAAATATTTCCTTCTGAATCAACATCATCTAATATCCCATACAGTAAGACCTAAAGTTAGTGCTCTGATAGCTGGAAATTTCCTCAAAACCTTGTTTGCGTCTTCTGAAGCTATCAACTATCACCAGCTATGACTACCAGTTTTTTTTGAACAAATAAAGTGCAAAGTAGGTTGTTTGGGGTTATCTTATTGTTTAATAAGTAATTGAGTAACTTAAAAACATTCAGACTTCCGGTACTCAGTGCCTGATGCGTGTCTTAAATTCCGTACATGTGTGAGGTAAGCGGCGCGAATGCAAAACAGTATACTAATGAGTTCCTAACAACTGAATAAAAAGAATACGGGGGACCAGAGATAACGGAAAGGACAAACGACAGGGGAGATACCGGAATGAACAGAAATCGGAGGCCGTATTCATGAACATTTACTTTTAGGTAAATAGAACGTGTAAATGATTTACAAAAAGTAAAAAAGAAGGCCCCGCAAAGGCCCGGATTACAAGTATGCGTTTACCTAGGTAAATGTTCATGAATACGGCCTCGGAATAAAAGAGAATGGTCAAGAAAACCTTTGTAAATTTTTTGGATCTAACGATTATGATCCGAATTATTATGTTCGGGCAACAGTATAACCGTTCCACCAAAAAGACTCCGAAACGTCTCCTAAAAAGAAAAAAAGGTGAGCCTTAATTTTCATTGAACTGTTATCAGCTTACTTCATATGAGTACCGGATAGACTAACATTTTTTATTCAACAAAAAGTATACAGGAATATACATATATACAAATATATACAAATAAGAATCCGATCATGATTTCATAACTTCTCTTTGGTCGTCTCCCCCTTTCTTTCATTTTCAATTTCCTGAATCGATCTTTTCGATGGTATCACTGGCAAGTATGTCAACCAATGATACTTTAAGAAGAATCTATTGACACATGAAGGAAGTGCATAGCCATTGTGCTTCACATCAGGAATCATTTCTTTTTCGTCATCCTCGTCAAAATCATTATCATCTCTGAATCCACGTTGTTTTCTAGTGGCTCCTGGAGCAATATTGTCAAGTGTGAAAGCGATTAGACCTCCTATTAACATTCTGATGGTTAGAAGAGTTCCGAAGACGTCATCCACTGTTTTGTTTCCAGTATTCAAAGGCGTCTTTTCAAAATGGGTGGCCGTGGTAATTGCCATAATGATAGCAATTCCAATTATAGTCAAATTTCTGGATATCTTCATATCGACGGTCTGCAAAAGTATTAAACGCTGTTGTGAAAAACAGTTATTCCAACATACTTGTAAATTGCTCAGCGAAACTCCGTTGATTAGAGAGACACCCATAGCCAAAAGTCCGCCAATGATCGGTTCAGGAATCATTGATAAGAATGCGGCGAATTTTGAAATTATTCCGGCAAGGATGAGGAGGACACCAGCCATTTGCATGGTTACACGGCTGGTAACCTGTAAGTTACAGTATTATCTTAGAACCGAGAAATTCCCTTTTTAATGGCTACTCCAAATTGACTCTCCAATAAAGTATCGCATGATCCCCTTTTAAAATAAAATTCCTCTTTGAATGACCGACATCACATTCTTCATAAATTTCCTGAAACCCCGATAAGCACGATTACGTATTCTGTCCATCGGAAAGAATTTTATCACCATCTTCGTTTGTAGTCTTATCAACTCTTTAGAAGATGTCTATGAGAAGTCGGTCAGTTTCAGGACAAAATAAAAAACGTGCTTATTGAGAACTCGTGTTTTCGTTTGATTGACAGCTGTATGATTTTAAAAGGTATGACTCTCTGAGGTGAGGATGAGTGCTTGGAGAGGGCACATGAAAAAAATCAAATCATCACCAGACACCAAAAATCAAAGCTTTAATACTATTCAGGTACAAAAAAGTGGAGATATGGAAGAGAAAAGCCGTTGGTCGTAGCCGAAGATTATATAACGAAAACTACCGAAACTCAAAACATTTTTATTTGCTCAGTTTCATTTTCTTGTTTTTCACTGCTTCTAGTCGAGCTTTTTCCACCAAAAAAGCCGGAAAAATGTTTTTGACAGTCAAGGTTACGGTAGTGGTCTTCCACAGCTCCGACTTTTTGTACCGGAATAGTACCATAGGGTTCAAACCACCTCTATATAGTATAAAATCCACATTATATCATATTTTATATACTTTTGACTTCCCCGCGATGCTCAGAAATTATCACCATTCAGACTACAAACTCACTTCCTTGCACTCACATGATAAACACTTGAAACCCCCATTTCCTTGTGTTTCAATACAGTACCTAATACCATACACTTCGCTTATCTCTTTTTCAACTCAACCAAAAATCACAAACCTTCGTGACGGACATAATGGCAATGTTCTCGGCATAGCAAGTGATTCCAGTTCCAACTCCCCAGAGTGCCGCCAGAATACATCCGACACCTTCAACGACGAACGCTCGATTGGTATTCGATGGCGGTGGACGAGTCTGTTGGGAAATTTTGGCGCAGAGATCTGAAAATAGCTCAAAATACAGTAATCAGTTTCCCCATCAACGCTTACTATAGTCACCAATACTCTCAATCATCGCTGCAAAACACGACGCCATGAATCCGCAAACCAATGCTGCATTGAATTTCGGTGGTCCGAAGAATAATGGTTTTGGAATTTGTACCCAAGGAGTGTCTCTGAATACCGCCAAACTGATATTGTTATCAGTTCTGGCTTGTCCTCCGGGAGGTTCAGCATTAGTCACTGTCAGAATCAAGCAGAAAATCCAGGCAATAATGATTCCGAGGAGATACTGAAACTCGTTAATATTTCTGGGACGCAGACATCACAGGTGATTCGCGAACAATCCGTTACGGACGCTCAGCGTTCGCGCGCGGTTGAAATAGGAACCGTATACGGACCGCACGCGACCCGTTTTCAGAAAACCACAGCACATTATTTCGTAC